AATTAGAAGATTTGAAGCAAGAGGAAAAAAATAACGAATTTAAAATTTTCAACAGAAATGAACTTACAGATATCCCGCCAAAATCCAGAATGTGGATAAAATAAAAGGAAATGACTCCCAAAATTTTGTGAAACTCAGCAAAGTTGTAAAAAAGACAACAAGTTCCAGCATATTAGCAAAATATTTTTTTTAAGATTTCTGAAAACAAAAACTTTATGGCACAGTATTTTTTACCATTACTTTCTTATTTTTATGAAAGAAGGATATAATTTGATATTTAACATTAAAATTTATTAATTTAAATTTTTAGTCCAAAGGGATTTCAGTCCCGAAGGACTATTGCTTTCGTTTTGGCATTTTGCGTACAAGATATTAATTATTACAAGATATTAATATTATAGATTGATATTTAACATTAAAATTTATTAATTTAAATTTTTAGTCCAAAGGGATTTCAGTCCCGAAGGACTATTGCTTTCGTTTTGGCATTTTGCGTCGGACTCATAAACGTCGGTTCACTTTTCAAATGTTGCCACAAAATGTTAGAGTCCTGCATTATATTTGAAGAAATTAAATAATGAAAAATCTGCATAAATGATTGTCTATTTCTCGCATTGTGATAAAACAATGGTACATAGAGCCATCGAATTTGAATGACGAAAATCCTACTGCGAATATGGGCATCTGAAATCCCAAATTTGGAATTTGTTTTATTATAGATTTTATATTTTGTAAAACTTTAACGAATTTTTGATTTACAAACTCAATGCTTTAAAAGCGAGAAATGGCAACGTTATATAGAAAAAAAAATACTTTTATCTCCAGCTCGCGAGACTGTGTATATCGGAAAACCTAAAGATATGCTTAACTTAACATTATTTTGCGATATTGCTCTTGAACTGAATTTTATGGTTTAAGTGCAAAGAACATGATATTTAATAAATAAAGGTAACACTCAAAACGTTAAAAAAACGCCCCTTTGGACGTAATTTAAAATCTGAAAAATTTCAGATTTTTTTTTTTAAATTTTGTTCAGCTTATATTATTCTCTTTTTGAAGTTGCTTACGTATTCCTCTTGTAATGGCTTATAAGGAAAATGTTTCATTCAAATTAAATATTTTATTGTCCTTTCAAGAAATATTTGAAACTTGTGACCCAGTACGTTTTATACGTATAAACATATTCTATTAGTTAACAGCGACCGCAGAATATTAGTAATTCGACTCGGATTCAAACCGCGGTGAACAGACTAGCTGCATAGTGTTGTACCTCTCATCATACAGCGAGGATAAGTCTGGCAACAGCTGCAGGAAGAAAAATTTGGCAGTGCTGGAATGGCAACAGCGGATGATATTCTATAGTTTTTAGATATTTTGATTTTGAGTCGATGTTTTTTTGCGTCTTTTGCGATACTATTGCGTCACCACATTTGAGTTTTGGGTGAATGAAATGAATCCGCTGTCCCGCTGCAGATATTAGTAAAATATATTTAGAAAATTAGCTGCGTTGGAAGGGATGAAACCTTGTGTTTGAATTTGCGGTAATTTTCCTCCTAAAGTTGCGTCGAGTTCAGAATATTATGCCAGGCTTATTCACGCTGGTGCAGATAAGTTCAAATTTTGTTATTGTGTTTATAGTGCATAACTTGCAAATATATGAATAGAATTCTATTAAATAAACAATTTAAATTCTGGAATGGTGTTTAAAATTTTAGATGTAGAATATTCACATTGCTATGTCGGAGCTAGTGGCAGTCAGGTGTAAAGTAAAATTGTTTTTGCTCCACGACATAACAAAATGGCGAGCCAGCCAGGATTGCGTTCCTGATTCGAATGTGTTGGGATTATTATATTAATATAGTTGAGAAAGTATTGTGTTTGCTATATTATATTATTGTAGAAGTAAATATTAATTTAAGTGTTATTTGGAAACGTAATGCGTTTTATCGTCTGCAATGTTGAATTTCGTATTTGTATTCGAATTAGTTTCAATTTTCAATCGAAATGCTATGCGTTTAAATCGTCTGCAGTGTAAACGTAGAAAAGGTTATGCGTTAAATCTTCTGCGGTGATATTCAAAATAATTTTGTTTTGACTGTATTATGAATGTTATGACATATTGTTTATTCATTTTTATTATATTGAGTTATATTTTTGGAATTGCTGAGTAAAGACGTTTTTGAGGATTTGTCGGATTGATGATAACATTACAGATTTTGAGTTTTTAAGTGGGTCTGCATTTAAAGATAAAAATGGATGTTGATATGTTGAAGAAAAAATGCCTGCAATGGCACGCAGTGCCTTTACTAGGAACGGCTAAGATTCTAAAAACCGAACTTTGTAAAGATGTTCAAACGGATAGAGATGAATTGAAAGACAAAATTTTGAAGTTGCAGATGATAATTACTGAGTTGAGATCTTGAGATTCAGAAATACTAGATTCAATGATTAAGGGAAAAGCCGCTGACGATGATCTGGAAACAGAGGTCATAGGTTGCGAAGAATATTCAGATGAGTTTATCACGCTTAATTGTCGGGTGAAAGAGAATATAGATAATGCGGTTGACCGTAGTGTCAATACGAGTTCTAACACGGATAGTAGCATAAGTGCTTCTAATGGAAAACGGTACAAGTTGCCGAAAATTCAAATTAAAAAATTCGATGGACAATTATTATGTTACCTTACATTTTGGGGTCAATTTAAGAAGATCCATGAGGATAAGGAGCTTAATGACGTTGACAAATTCCATTATCAATGTTACTCGGAATGTTACTCAATCAATGTTACCCGGAACTCGGGCTAGTGAGTTGATAGATAGTTATCCTTTAACGGCTGAAAATTACCCGAAAGCCATTTCTGAGTTTGAGAAGCGTTTTGGAAACGGAAATTTTAACTGAGATATATGTGAGGGAATTGTTAAAATTAATTATTCAAAATGTACGCTCACAAGGGAAAGATCGGTTGCCGCTAGTGTCACTGTTTGACAATATCGAATCCCATCTCAGATCTCTAGAGTCTTTAGGCTTAGCCCTGGATACTAATGTTTCCTGGTTATAGCCCATGGTCGAGTCTTGTCTGTCTGCTGAGATGCTTCGAGTATGGCAGAGAAGCGTTTTGTTCAGTAAAGAAGGATCACGTCTCACAAATCTCCTGGAATTTTTGCGTAAAGAGGTCGAAGGAGAGCAGAGAGTTAAACTAGCTAGGTCTGGATTTGAAATTTCTTCTACTTCGAGCAATGAACATTCTAAAGATGTAAAAGTTAAGACCAAAAAACCAATCGCTAGCGCAGCAAGTCTAGTTGATGCCAAAGAACATAAATGTGTTTTTTGCGGAAAATCTCACGAAAGCAAAGTATGTTTTACAGCTCGATCGATGAGCTTAAAGGAAAGATTAGACAAATTAAGAGAATTAAAATGCTGCCTCCTCTGTCTTAAACCAGGGCAGGGCATTTTGCGAAGAAGTGTCCACAGTTTATTCAATGCTATTTGTGTAGGCGATCTCACCCTATAATTTTATGCCCGGAGGTATCAGAAAACAATGCTGACAATAAGGAAAAACGAAACGAGTCAGTAATGGTACAAAGTACAATGTCCTCTCCCTTATGTATGAATGAAGTCACTCTTATGACGTTAATGGTTGAAATAGTTGTAGGCGCTGTAAAGAAGGTGGTCAGGTGCCTCTTGGATTGTGGATCCCAACGATCTTACGTTTTACAATCCACAGTTGAAGCTTTAAATCTGAAAAGCACTTCCTCTGAGACTTTAACTCACGCGTTATTTGGCGGAACAAGGACTGAGTCAAAAATTCACAAGAGATATTCTATAGGTCTAAGCCCGGTTGGGAAAAAAAAAAGTGTACCAATTTAGTTTTCTGAATCAAAATACCATTTGTGGAGGCATACCACGCATACCTAAAGGACCGTTATTGAAGGAATTAAAAAGACACAGAATTTGGATTTCAGATGTCGGTGAGGGTCACCCGGAAATAGAAATCCTCATAGTGGAGTGATATTTATGGGCAAATACTTACTGGTGAAGTAATTCAGCTTGAGGGTGGTTTGACAGCCATAAATACTAAACTGGGATGGACGCTGTGCGGGGAATCGAAAGGAACGATTATCCAAAGTTTTGAGGGTACCCCATCTATGTTAGTAACTAATCTTCTTATTCAAGACATGGAACCTTCCTTTATGTGGAAGTTAGAAACTATCGGCATTGCAGATGATGCGCAAAGCATTTCCAGGGTCGCAGAAGATCAAGCAGTGAAAGAGCAGTTTCTTAGGGGCCTTCGCAGAACCGGAGATGGTAGATATTGCGTGAGTTTACCTTGGGCTCTAAAATTCCCTCCTGATATTCCCTCTAACTGGCATATTGCAGAAAAGAGGCTCTTTGCTACTACGAGAAAATTGAGAAAATTAAATAAATTTGATGAGTATAGTACAGTATTTAACGAATGGCTAGCGGAAGATGTCATAGAAATTGTCCCAAAATCAGTAAAGAATAACGGAGGGCATTATTTACCACACCATCCAGTAATAAAATTAGGTAGCCTCACTACCAAGATTAGGCCTGTATTCGATGCGACGAGCAAAGTCGTTGGTTTGTTTTCGCTAAATGATTGCTTGATAAAAGGTCCAAACCTTGTAGAAGAAATCTCAGCCATTCTAATGCGGTTTAGGGAAAAGGCAATTGGTGTAACATCCGATATTAGGCGGGCCTTTTTACAGATTGAGGTAGAGCGTGAGGATCAAAATTACTTAAGGTTTTTGTGGTGAGTAAATAATAGAATTGAAGTGTTTCGTCACAAGAGGGTTGTTTTTGGGTTAACTAGTAGCCCCTATTTATTGGCAGCTGTGATTTCATTTCATTTGTCCCACGTTTCACCTAAATTCAAAGCTGTTTTGAATAAACTTGCCAAATCATTTTATGTTGACAATTGTGTCACGTCAGTCGATGATAACGAAGAGCTAAAGGTTTTTATGAGCCAGTCGATTACTATGATGGCAGAAGCCAAAATGGATCTTCGAATGTGGACTTTTAATCAATATGGTGATCAAGAGCTAGCAGCTGAAGATAGTGATCCAGTCTCCGCAGTTCTAGGCTTGCGGTGGGACCGACGAGATGACAGCCTTACAATATCCGTCCAAAGAGAAATCGTTAAAAGAGACTTATCAAAAAGGAGACTATTGTCTCTAATCCATGCTGTTTTTGATCCGCTAGGTTTCTTTGTGCCCGTCATATTACCTGCGAAATTAATTCTTCAAGAGGCTTGGGCAACAAAATCGACCTGGGATAAGCCATTACCGGATGAACTTCAAACAAGATTTGAGAGATGGTACGAAAGGTTGCCTAGTCTTTCCAGCCTTAAATTACCTCGTCGCATGGGTCATGGAATTAAGGATTCATGGACTCTACACGTCTTTTGTGATGCCAGTCAAGCTGCTTATGCAACTGTCATTTACTTACGAAGTAAGAAAGAAGACAAAGTTTTCGTGAAATTCGTCATAGCAAAATCACGGATATCGCCCGTAAAGAAAATAACTATTCCGCGTTTGGAGTTGCTAGCCTGTGTTCTAGGTGCACGCTTGGCAAGGTATACTGTTGAAACCCTGTGCTTAGTCGATGTCCCGATATATTACTGGACAGACGCTACTGTGGCTCTTAGCTGGATACAACGAGAGGAAAACTGGGGAGTATTTGTGAATAATAGAGTAAAGGAGATTCGGAAACTCTCGAAGCAGGAATGTTGGAGACATATCCCTGGAAAATTGAATCCGGCAGATGTGTCATCTCGTGGCTGTACGCCTGAACATTTGCGGCAATGCAATTGGTGGGAGGGCCCCGAATTTCTGAAAAGCTCTCCGAAAGAATGGCCAGACTTTGAGTTTACTCCAGACGAAAATTCTGTTGCAGCAGAAATTAAGAAGGGAGTGATTGTCAATTTGAGTATTAAATTAGAAGATTCTGAGTGGTACAAACGTTTTTCGAGTTTTTCTAAAATAGTTCGAGTATTCTGCTGGGTTCTACGCTTTACTAATAAACTCCTAAAGAAGCCCTCGTATTCTTCGGATACCTTAACAGTAGAAGAAAAAACTAACGCCGAAACATTTTTGTGGAGTTTAGAGGAAAGGAAGCAGTTTCAAGAGAAAGGAGATTCCGTCCATGGATTAGTGGTAGTGAGAGACAACGACGGAGTCCTCAGAGTCAAAACTAAAATCATTGAACGTGATGATGAATTCTGCTTCCTTTATCCCCTGTTGCTTCCGTCCAAGCATTATTTAACTGAATGCCTCATAAGAGAGTATCATGAAAAGAACTGTCATGCGGGAGTGCAGATATTAGCTGCTAAGTTAAGAGAGCGATACTGGATCATTTCGTCGAAACGTAATATAAGATCTTGCGTAAGTCGATGTGTAGTATGTAGGAGATTTACCGCTAAGGCTTTATCTACCTCTCCGATCCAGTTACCCCTTGACAGAATAAGAGATTCGGCAGTCTTTGAAACAACTGGAGTCGATCTTTGTGGACCTTTACTTCTGAGACCAAAGAGAAAGCGCAGGTAAAAGCTTGGATCGTCTTGTTCACCTGCGCCGTATACCGGGCAATTCACCTGCAGCCTGCCACCTCTCTGAGTACCGAAACGTTTCTACAGGCTCTGAGACGGTTCATTTCCAGACGAGGCCGTCCTGCGACAATGTATTCAGATAACGGAACCAATTTTACCGGAGCAGACAATGCTCTGAGATGCCTGGATTGGAGAAAAATCACAGAAAACGAGTGTTTTCCAATAAAATGGAAATTCACCCCCCCTACGGCTGGGTGGTGGGAGCGCTTAGTTCGTTCCACCAAGACTCTTCTCGTGCGAATTCTAGGGAGATCGTCGGAGAATTTCGAGGAGTTACTGACCGTCCTGTGTTATGTTGAATCCACATTAAACAACCGTCCTTCTATGATGATTCGGAAGGGCTCGTACCTCTGACACCTTCCCTGTTTTTGCAAGACATAAAAAAAGTGGGGGTACCAGATCTGGATTACATCTATTCCCAGAAATTGAATGTGCGTGTAAATTACTGCAATACGTTGAGACAAGAACTGAGAAGTCGCTTCCGCAAGGAATATCTGGCTCAACTAGTGCAGAAGGCAAGCGCTTCATGTCAAAACCTAAAGGTGGGGGATGTAGTCCTCATAGAACTAGACAATAAAAAACGTGTAATGTGGCCAATGGGCAAAATTGTAAAAATATTCAGTAGTAAAGAAGGGGCTAGCGAGTGGTACAGGTAAAAACAAGCAGTGGATATTTGGTAAGACCAATCAAAAAATTGTATTCACTAGAAGTTTCAACTACCAGAGTGATCCTGTGCTAACTCTGGCAACTGAAAACAGATCTAGCTACGGTAGACTCTTAAAACCAAGGACATGCTCTTAGACATTATGTACAATATAGACATTTTGGACTTATATCCTCTTTTCTTTAGCAATGACTTTAATTAGAAGTTTATTCTTTATTGATCTCATTTTAGTATGATCTGTCATATATATTGTATGTTAACCGAGTTTCTTTTATGTGTTTTCTAAACTAATACATAGTACTGTTTTGTTTTATTCGTAATGCTAGAAAATTTTATGCAATGTCTGATTTTGAGAAAATCAGGGTGGGAGGATGTTGTACCTCTCATCATACAGCGAGGATAAGTCTGGCAACAGCTGCAGGAAGAAAACCTTGGCAGTGCTGGAATGGCAACAGCGGATGATATTCTATAGTTTTTAGATATTTTGATTTTGAGTCGATGTTTTTTTGCTTCTTTTGCGATACTATTGCGTCACCACATTTGAGTTTTGGGTGAATGAAATGAATCCGCTGTCCCGCTGCAGATATTAGTAAAATATATTTAGAAAATTAGCTGCGTTGGAAGGGATGAAACCTTGTGATTGAATTTGTGGTAATTTTCCTCCTAAAGTTGCGTCGAGTTCAGAATATTATGCCAGGCTTATTCACACTGGTGCAGATAAGTTCAAATTTTGTTATTGTGTTTATAGTGTATAACTTGCAAATATATGAATAGAATTCTATTAAATAAAGAATTTAAATTCTGGAATGGTGTTTAAAATTTTAGATGTAGAATATTCACATTGCTATGTCGGAGCTAGTGGCAGTCAGGTGTAAAGTAAAATTGTTTTTGCTCCACGACATAACAGCATAGGTTATGCTGATGTTCTCTGTTTGTGTGTAACGTTACTGCGGAGCGACTTGCATTAGAACCTCCTCTACAAAGATCTCTCTCTCTCTTTCTAATAGGAAGCCACTAGACTTTGCCACAATCTCATAAATAAGTAAAGCCTGGAGTTATCACATGCTCGAAATTAATTTAGACAGTCCGGGATTCGTTGTATTCCTTGAGCTATGTTTTGGATAATGCAGATCGCGGTTTTACTTTGTAACGTTGCGCGCCTCCAACTTGCACGCAACCAAGAGGTGGCTGTGAAAACTGGATAAAATACAGAGTCTTGTAAAGGGTTTAAGTCCCTTTTTATTCAACGTAAAAATTACAATTGCGTGCTCTTGACGCTCACAGACTGCGCCAACTCGGCGGTCAAATAAAAATAATAACCTGAAAAGAAACTAAAGACAAGACTCTAACTACGAGGCTCTCTAAAATAACTAACTCACCGCGTTTTACAATACCGCTGCTAATTCAGCAGACTTGAAGCTCACATGAACGATTAACACTACTTCCCGCCAAGCACATAGGCCGAAACGCGGGGTTCTTCAATTTCTCGCTAACTACCTCCGCGCTCGTGAAGTAAGAATATCACACACCGAACTCGTTTCCTTCCTATTTAAATCATAATACTTCCGCTGATAATTTGAATCCTTGCGCGTTCTACTCAAATTTACATATTCTGGCATTGGCAGTTCCAGGGGAAAGTAAGGCTTGACAGGAAAGATAGTTTAAACTTAAAATAAATGTTAGTTAAAATAAATATAAACCCTACATTTTCCGCTGCCAGAATTTGGAAAACTTGGAAGCAGGTCCTACAAACGACCTGTTGTAAGTTTCTCTAATTCTGAACTAACTGGCGAGAACCTCGTTTACACAAAAAAATCTTATGTAACAAATTGTATACTAAAATTCTGTTGCTCGTTATAAAGCTCTCTTCTTACAGCAACTTTTCCTGGACTTCATCAATCAATCTTGGTCTTTCCTTCCAGCATCTGGAAGGAATAAGTATCAGTATCTTTCTAAATACATTATAATTTACACTTTCTTGACACAATAAATTTTTGTTTTTAAACGATTCGTTTTTCTTACTTATTGCTTAATTCACATTCATTCAATTTTTCAAGCATTAATTTAACTTTACCCTGGCTCTCCACCGTGTGTGGTGTCAAACGGGAATATTCGTGTTTTAGTCTTACAACACTTCCCCTAACCACCATAATTTGTTAGAATTCAACGACCAAATAGACACACCTTACTCAACATTCTACAACTCAATGAGTTACTTTAATATTCTTAAAAATTCAAATGTAGGTGGAGAACCCTACAAAACACATTCATTCTAACTTCCCCCTCATTCATCTTTAAACATGCAGGCTTTCGCTCTAAAGCATGACTTTATCTACAATTTACTACTTAAATTTTGACTACTTAAATTTTACTCTTGCTTTTAAGCATTCACTTTTATCATCTACAATTTTATGCTTCTAGAGTAAATTCTACTTTTACATAACATTCAAGTATTTACGTACATTTACAAAATTTTAATACATATGATTTTTACAATTTACCATAAAATGAATAAGAGAAAATAAATTTTTACTTTACTCATTCTTCGCCAAACTGGCGGCACTGAAACTAAAATTCTTATTAATACAAGAATACGAAGTTATTTTATCTTCGGCCAAATTTTGGCTTTAACATAACAGAATTAGTCTTTCGACCAACAGAAAATGCTTGTTTTTAGCTTTTACACTTAAAGAAAATAATACTTTTGCCTTAGCTAAATAAAGTAAAACAAAAAACTAAGTCTCAACCGAGACATATTGACTTTCGTCAAAACATAGAACTTCGTACTTATGCATAACATTTCGGAACAAAAGAGAAAAAAAAATTATAGAAGGTTTTAACTTATCTTTGAGTTTTCGATGCTTGAAAGTCCGTCATTCGTTTTTGGCAAAATTGGTCCCAAGTTAGAGGTTTCATGGATGTTAATCTTCTCCTTATGCCCTCCGAGTGTCGTCCACATTACTTTTTCTTTTGCGTCCTCTACATGCTAGCCTCTTGGCGGAGTAATCGTTCGTGGGTTGTTGGCATTTCCGTTTTTCCCTGGGACGGCTGGTCTTGACGTCCTCCGGTCTGGAGTCCTTCTTGAATTTCTTCTGTTCGTCGTATTCTTGTGCCTCCTGTTGCCGTTTCAGTTTCCGGAACGGCGGCCTTGCTGGCACCTGACTTTGTGGCCGTGTGCGCGTTCTCCTTGATGTGTATAATTTTTCCTGCAATCCTTTGTAGGTGGTGTTTTTCTCTTTACCACGGTTTCTTTACCCGGTGCATCTGTATTTTTGTTTTTCTTAAACGCCGGAGTTTGAAAATTATTTTTTCTTTTTGATACCGACTCCGGGTTGTAGAAGGGCTAGGTCTCTCTTCAGTTCTCTGTTTCTTGGGTGGTGGAATAGTTGTTATCTCTGGACCTTCTATTTCGTTTAGACTTGAGTCCTGCAAGAAACTTTTAAGGATTTCAAAATCATTTGGATTATAGTATTTTTTCACCTGGTCGGGACTTGCTTTACAGATTTCTCCTCTCTCGTTCTTAAGATATAAGACTACTCCTTTGATTTCCTGAATTACATAGGGGCCTTCAAACTTTGGAGCTAGCTTTGCCGTAAAATTGTCTGGGGCACTTGATAAAGAAAATTTCCGCTTCAATACTTTATCCCCAACTCTAAAATCTGCTTCACGGCGTTTTCTATCATAATATATTTTCTGCCTATTTCTTGCCGTATCCGAGGTTTTAATCGCCTGATCAATCAACTTTTGCACATCTTTTTGTTTAAATTCCTGCTCTCTTTGTTGCACAAAGAATAATTTATCTAAAGGCGTAATTAACTTTCTGCCTAAAAATAATTCTGCTGGAGTTTTTCCCGTAGTATCATGATTTGCCGTTCTTAAAGCATAAGCTAATTCATTTATGTAGCCATCCCAGCGCTTGTGATGTGTGCTCACATAACTGCGAATTATTTTTACTATATTTTTTATTAACTCTTTCTGCTATGTTTAGCCTGTGGTCTATACGGAACCTTTTTGATATGGCGTATGCCAAGTCCATTGCATATGTTTTCAAATATTTGACTAATGAATTGTTTTCCGTTATCGCTAATGACTTTTATCGGTGCACCGTATTTTAAAATGTATCTGTGTAAGAATGCATCTGCGACTGTTTTCGCTGACGCGCGTTTAAGTGGAACAATTTCTGTCCATTTTGAAAAATGATCTACTATTACTAAAAGAAAACGATTTTTATTTAACTCGCTCTGGGGGAAGGGACCAAGAAGATCTATGCCTAA